TTAGTTCGATGATAATCGATAATTTGATCTATATCGATTTCTTACCCATTATCGATAATAAGCGATTTATGATATATTTTGCTAAATAACAAATTAATCGATGTTTAGCGTTTAAATTTAATCAATATAAAACGATTAAGCGTTATATATTGTTATAAATCTACTTGAAAAAATTCGTAATGACTATTATTATCATGTAAAGACACTGGGTTTTGGGGCAAAGATACCAGACCATGGTTATTGGACGAAGACACCAGATTACAATTATTGGGCGAAGACACAAAACTATAGTTATTGGGCGAAGATACTAGACCACAATTATTAGACAAAGGCAAAAAATTATTGTTAGATGATGATACTGGTTCACTATTTATTATGCGCCTCTTCCCCGCGCACAATCGTCGTAGTCGTCCCTTTAATACTACGTCCGTGAGATAAGCTTATATATTTTTTTCTTCTCGTATGCACCTACAATAAATCTTTTTTTTTTCGTATGCACCCATAATGAATTCTATTTTTTTTTCATATGCATCCATGTGAATTATTATAATTGTTGGAAGAAAGTATAGTATAACTACTATTATTATCATGTAAAGACACTGGGTTTTGGGGCAAAGATACCAGACCACGGTTATTGGGCGAAGACACCAGATCATAGTTATTGGGCGAAGACACAAAACCATAGTTATTGGGCGAAGATACTAGACTACAATTATTAGACAAAGGCATAAAATTATTGTTAGATTATGATACTGGTTCATTATTTATTATTCGCCCCTTCCCCACGCATAATCGTCGTAGGCGTCCCTTTAATACTACGTCCGTGAGATAAGCTTATATTTTTTTTTCTTTTCATATGCACCCACAATGAATTCCTTTTTTTTTCGTATGCACCCACAATGAATTCTATTTTTTTTTATATGCATCCATGTGAATAATTATTATAGTTATTTGAAGAAAGCACAGTATAACTACCATTATTATTATGCAAAGACACTGGGTTTTGGGGTAAAGATACCAGATCACGGTTATTAGGTGAAGACGCAAAACCACAGTTATTGGGTGAAGATACTACCCACAGTTATTGAACAAAGACAAAACATTATTGTTAGATGATGATACCGGTTCGCTATTTATTATGCGCCCCTTCCCCGCGTATAATCGTCGTAGTCGTCCCTTTAATACTATGTCCTTGAGGTAAGCTTTTCTTTTTGTATGAACTCACAATAAATAAATTTTTTTGGGGGTTTTAAACTAGCTATTAGAAAAAGGCACAATATAACTACCATCATTATCATGTAATTGCACCGGACTTCTGGGCGAAGACACAATGCTTCTGGGTAAAAACACAGGGCTTGTGGGCGAAGACACAAAACGATCAATATTATTATTAGCCGATGGGACTGAATAAACAGTACCATCAGGTGATTGTTCTTGATCATTAATGTTGTCAAGCAACAAATCTAAAATAAATAAAAATATTATTAAAAAAAAAAAAGTGAAATTCTGTAATAAATAAAATGCTTTTTATTTTAATTTGAGTAATTTTAATACCAGTTATATCATCGTCCAGATCTATTTCGTAATCAGTATTAGAGATTTCAATTGTATCTGATATTTTCTCTTCGTCGAAGATATTATTTGTATAAAGTTCATTTACTAAAGTACAATTACCACGGGGCTTGTCTCTATAAACCAATTCATAATAAGTTTTTTTGTGCGATCTACACCATGAATTGTTCATGACAACCACAACGAACCTCAAACCAAATGACCAGTTGTTTCGACCAGTAGTTTCTCTCCATTTGCCGAGCTTTTGCTCCAAAATTCCATTGGACGTTCTACTAAGCCTTGCGACTGGGGTGCCTTGGGCGCCTGTTTATTATCTTCACTAATGGCCATAGTGCGATTAATTCTTTGATGACTTGTGCTATGAATTCCTTGCCATTATCTGATTGTAATATAGTGGGGGTGATCCAATCATATGAAAAAGGTCAAACAGGAAAGATGCGACTTCAATTGGTCTTTTTGACGTAAGTGCCTTAGCCCATGAAAACCTACTAAAGTGGTCTCTAATGTGGCACACATACTTGAACTCTCCATTGGGAATGTAGGATAAATCAATAAGATTTATCTGTATAATAAATATAATTAGACATTATTTAATTTAATTTCAAACAAACACAAAATTTATAGTACCTGCATTCTAGACAAAAAATTTTTGGCAATTATCAGTTTCGCCGCCAAAGGGTAGAACGCTAGCCTCCTTGTTGCACATGCTGTGCAATTGTTCATGAATTCTTCCATGATTAATTGTTTAATATACCTCCATCTTTCATTAATTGAGCTTCACATCTGTCTTTGACTGCTATGCTGTGTTATTTCACCATGGGTATAACAAAGAACCTCGTAAAACTTTTCAACTATTAATACAGGATTGTTCGTGGCCTTTACAAGTACTCTGTAATCCCCTGGTACAATTGCTTCAAGTATGAATTTGTCTTTAGCCCAAGACCGTAACTTTTTATCATAGAGTGAAATATTCCTTTAGATTTAATAGGATAGTTTTTATCTTATTTAAAAGTTCATTGTTTATTAGGGCCTTTTGCTGTTTCGATTTAGGAAGGTTAGTTATATATTTTTCTACGATTTGGTCAAGAGTATTTCTACTGATGAACGTATACTCCATTATAAGAACAAGATCAAAGTTGTAAAGCAGCGCCAAAGAACAGAGTCAACACTTTAAAGAGACAAGAACAATGCCAGAGTTATATAACAGCGTCAAAGAACAAATGCCAATGCTTAAGGAAGATAAGAATAAAATTAAAATCAAAGTTATAGGCGCGCCAAAGAAAAAAAGCAAACGCCTAAAGGAAACAAAAAGTTATAGAGCAGCACCAAAGAATAATGTCAATGCTTAAGGAAGAGGAACAAGACCAGAGTTATATAACAGCACCCAAAGAACGAAAAGCCAACACTTAAGGAAAGTAAGAACAATATCAATGTTATAAGCACGCCAAAGAAAAAAGCGAACGTTTAAACGAGGCAAGAACAAAACCAAAAATATAAAGCAGTACCAAAGAATAATGCAAATGCTTAAGGGAGAGAGCAAGACCAGAGTTATATAACAGTGCCAAAGAACAAAGCTAATGTTTAAAGAAGATCAAGTTATAGGCGCACCAAAGAAAAAAGCAAACGATTAAATGAGGCAAGAACAAAACCAAAATTATAAAGCAGCGCCAAAGAAAAAATTGCAATGCTTAAGGGAGATAAGAACAAGTTCAGAGCTATAATAAGGCTAAAAAAAATTTATGATGCGACAAAGTACTGCAAAATGAAGACGCGCTGAAATCCAATAATAAGTAGCACCAAAGAATTAAGCCAATGCTGAATGTGGAGAAATTAGTAGGTACCACCAATGCCGAATGTGATGTCGAATACGAAAGCCAACGTCGAAAAGCCAATGTCGAATATGAAAGCCAATGAGAGATGTATAGCCAACATTGATCACGCCAAGTTCCAAGAAAAAGAAGGCAAGGTCAAAGCATAGGGTTTTTTTTTTTATAGGCTTACGCATAATGACGTTATTACATAGTCGTTATTACATTTTCGTTTAAACTTGCTTTAACATTTTTTTTTTTTTAGATTTTGAAGATCTTGCGTCAGATTAGAACTTACGCACGTCAGATGGCCAATTGACAGGTGACGTGCGTCATATGGAAATCGACATCTGACGTGCGTCGGATCTAATCCGACGCAAGGATGCATCTGACGCACAACATATATACCGATACTGTATTTGATTAGCTTAACATATTTATGCACTTCAAAATACTTTTTGGTTTAGCTAATAACAATAGAAAACTCTTTTAACTGCTATAGCAAATTTCAATATCAAGTGTCACAAAAAACCCTTCAGTGCACTAACAAAGAATTCTGATGATTTTTTTTAATTAATCAACCTATTATAATAAGAAACTCGACTCTGATTTAGAGGCAGTGAAATAATTAGATTGGTAACGCTAGAATTTTAAAACTAATAACTTTAAAATTATTAAACTTTAAATCTTTGAATAGAAATCCCAGAAAGTTAGCGTGATCCACGCGTAATCCAGCGCGGGATATATTGGATAATTTGGACAGTGTCACAAATCTGGCCGAGTTCCAAAAATATTCCGAGGTCGAGGTAAAATTTCCGTAAGAAACCGAAATATGAAAAACCTATCTCGCGAATCACGTGCGTGATTTTAGAAATAGCTGATTGCCCATTACAAAAGTGTAAATATGAATCATTTATTTCGATTATATCAGTTTCGTCTAATTTCAAAATAATTCATTGGAAATTAAACTTATTATGAACGTATACAACTTTGTCAGACAATTCGATTACATTTGGATACTTTGGAATTTTTTTTTTTATAAAGTTAAAGAATCACTCGCAGATCTTAAATCGCACATTAGAACATAATCCAAATAATTACTTTACACTTGATAACCATGGAATTATTTACCAATTGTTAGCAGATTTTAATAGGATATTAAAGAAAAATTAAACCTAATAACGGTTCTGTTCTTAGCATTTGTGGAGTTACCTACAGACTTAAGTTTATATAAAGAATCGCTGATGCTAGAAACTAATACAAATGACGATTTTGCTCTTCTTAATCATGGTACTACTTATTAATCATTAGACCGATGCAGTATGAAGAATTTCTCATGGATCTTAAAAGTGTTAGAAGTTGATCAAAATGACACTCATTGACAAATTATTAAAAACAATCCAATGATTTATTATCAATAATGGTTCGTGAAGTTGTTTATCAACAATTAAATCAATATGAAGACCCTCTGGCAAATCTTAGTAAAGTGTTAGATGCTAAAATTAATAATATACATGAATCGCTTTTAGAATTTAATATGAAATTGGAAACTGATCCGGATAACGTCTTTATAATTGATAGTCGTGCAAATATTTAAATCAATATGAAAAATCATTCTCTCTCGAGAGAGAGAGAGAGTCAAAAAAAAATAGTAAATCTGAACATTCCTTAACTAGCTTACAGTATTTACCCGTAGCTTCACTATTAGAGAGTTTCCGAGCTCACATTGTTATTCATGATTTTATTGAACAGTCATCACGTGGATTTGGGACGAGGATTTGGATGGGATTTGTGATTGAGATTTGTCCATATTTGCCGTATGAGATTTTTTAGGCCTGACTGGACAATCCATTTGTCCAGGCTTGTCCATGTACCAATCCCAAATCCATGAGTTTTGCCAACAAGTATGCGTAATAGTCAGTGTTGTTGACTGGAAGCTGGAGCCTCACTGGACGTCCAGATATTTCCAGTGTTCCAGTGGTTCCAGTGAAGTTTTCACTGGAACCTATATAATACTAGCCAATAAGATTATTAAGGTTATTATAAACACGTGATATGCTGATATCCAATCAGTTGCAAGAATACTTTTCATTTTACAATTACATGTAACTCGAAAATAGAGAATTCTACTGGTAAAGCAAACACCCGTGACTTATATCCATAATCACCACAAATTTTTTATTGAACTACTATTGAAATTAAAGTAAAACTAAATCCTTACAATAAAATTATACAAAATATAATTTCGATATCGTATTTCATTTTGAATTCAAAATGCCGATCATTTCATTTCAAACCCTAAATCGGGTTAAGTGAAATAATGTAAAATGGTCTCGATTTAGGGTAATAATCACAGGTTGAATCAATGAATATCGGGTGCATACCTGGAGAAAAGTTTCCCGATATGCACCCGTTAGTCTGCCATAGATCCGCCAAATACCTGCTGAATGACAGCAGCATATTTGTAAGACATTGGGAGGTAGATCGATAACAGAAAAATATTGGGATGCCCCGATATCTTACTTTTAGGCCCAGAGTGCTAAGAGTAAGATTTCAGGGTATCCCAATATTGAGCTGTTATGTTACCGTATCGATCTACCTCCTGATCTTACAAATATGCTGCTGTCATTCAGCAGGTATTTGGCAGATCTATGGAGATTAACGGGTACATATCAGGAAACTTGTCTCCCAGTATGCACCCGATATTCATTGATCCAACCTGTGAATTATATGAGAAATCATTCAATAGGGTGTTTCAGAACTAAGTTTCAGGCTTTTGATTTCGAATTAAATTAGTAATGTATTATTTCGAAATTAGTGATTCATAAATCTTATTTATTTTGATTTGTAAGCTTATTTATATAATAACAATAATAATAATTAATACTTTTATTATCGTGAATTTTCTTTCGAAACTTGATATATTACACATATATATTAAAATGTTTTATATTTCGACAATTACATATTAAAGGCATAATAGTATTTTAGAAATACTAATAAAAGAATATCATAATATTATTTAAGAATTTTTAAAAAAATTTAAGTGTTAATTTGTATTTCTTTATTGATTTATTACGATAGTATCATATAATAACAATATCAAAAAAAAAATACCGGAAACTCCTATTTCATTTTCCGTTTTCAAAATTTTAAAACAGAAATAGGATTTTCGAAATAAGTTAATTATGAATCACTCTAATATCAATATTGCAGCAAACATTTGAATTTGCAAAAATAGGTATACACGTCACTCTCGATATAACGCAGTAAATCCATCATATCAAGCAGTATTTATTATGATGTGGATCTGAATCTTGATCTATTATATCGAGATTTTACTTAGTCTCCGTTATATTAAAAGTCTGTTATATCGAGAGTGACGTGTGCCATGAGAAGTGACAAATTCTTCGGTTATCATTGCCACTAATTACAGTATTCACAAAAAACCTCCATGATTAAGATTCGGATACTAATTTTAATATAATATATCCCCAAATTACGTATCGTTCTTCACATAATACCCACCTAAATTTGATTCTAGATCAACTTAATAATCTAATATGTGCGAAAAACCCTATTTATTAATTTCTTGTATAGATATTAGTAAAATTAAAATAAAAATCAAATTATAGTTAGGCGATTATCAATTATCGTGTTATCTTTGTAAAGTTTAAAATTAAACTACTATCAAATTTTGATAATATTCGAACGCTTTGTGCCTATTCTTTTTATCGCCGATTTCTTCTTTTTATATATTAATAACCAATCATAATTACATCATCACCCATGACTGAAACAAACATAACTCGCTTTACTGTTTTTACTGTTACCAATTTCGAATATAATAAACTACGTTGTAGATCTGTAAAGTGTGCATTTGCGTCAATCATTAGTGCTTTCGCATATAGGACAATTTAGGAATTTTAAGACATTTAAAAACAAATCTTTTTATTTTAGGATAATCTGAAAACCAAACTTTACTAACATGGATATTTATCGTCATTATGTCATTAGTTTAAAGTATAGGTATCAATTTAAAGACTAGCAAAGTAATGGTACAAAAATTTGGCAGTTCCGTGATTTTTTGAGGCTATGAACCACGAAATTGGGCTTGTGCATAGAATTATATCTCATAAAAAAGTTAAATATATGATCATTAATTGATATTGAATCTCAGCGATCCAATTACAATCTTAGTTTGCATATAATATTTTCGGTCAGATTTTTTTTGATTACAGGATTGCGTTTAAATAAAAATTTAAATATCAAAAATAACTTCACGCGTGGCAAATCTGTATCGCATTACATAAATAAAAAAAAGTTTTTTTTTATCTTTATGCTTTTTTGACTTATTAAATTTCACTGGACCTCACTAGAGCTTCCATCCAGTGGTAAAAAAAATATGACTGGAAGGGTCTAGTGACAACTTACCACTAGAACCTAAATATCTTCCAGTTTCATCCAGTTAGTTCCAGTAATCCTTCCAGTTCCAGTGAAATTCACTGGACCGGTCTAGCAACAACAAACTACCCACCAAAATTTTTACGTTCACGTGATTTTTTTGTGCCACAAGCCAATCAGATCCCAAGATCAGGTGTAAAACATTAGTTTCGTTAAAAATCGCTTATAACTCAAAAATCTGCATAGGAAACCACCTTTAGTGCAATAACAAAAAGTTTTCCTTGAGCGATTTTACTATTAAAACTCATCCAACCCTAACTCTAGCATAGACCCTAACCCTAACCTAAACAAATTTAAAGATTTTTTGTGTACTGCAAATATGGTCATGTGAACGTAAAAATTTTGGTGGCGATACTGGGGAAGATAGCAACAACACTGATCTAATCACTTAACGCAAACACAATAGTCGTAAGTACAATAACCGAACTTTTTACATAGCCCTATTTAAATCACTTATATATCACTTATATCACCATAGCTCGTAAGTACTTTTTACAGCAAATCACTATACAAATCACGATAAGTCCATTACAAAACTAACATAACCCTACCTAAATCATGTATGTTACCATAGCGAGTAAGTACAGTAACCGACCTTTTTACATTATACAAATCTATGATAAGTCCATTACAAAATTAAAATACTTACGCAACCACCATAGCTCGTAAGTACAGCACCAAACTTTTTACAGCAAATCACGATAAGTCCATTACAAAACTAACCCCTTTCTAAAAATCACTTACACAACCACAAATAGTTAGTAAGTACAGTACTCGAACTTTTTACAGAAAATCACTATACAAATCACGATAAGTCAATTACAAAACTAACATAATCCTATCTAAATACTTACGCAGCCAAAATAGTAAGTAAGTACAGTAACCCCACTTTTACAGCAAATCACTATATAAATCACGATATGTCTATTACAAACTAACATAACCTTATCTAAATCACATATATCACCACAGCTCGTAAGTACAATAATCACTATACAAATCACGATATGTCCATTACAAAATTAACATAACCCTATCTAAATCACTTATATAACCCAGTAATCACGAATTTTTTATAGTAATCCACTATTCAAATCATTATAATCTAACGCAAGAAATAATTATCCCCATAACAGACAGTATAATTATTTATTAAATTATAATTATTATTTTTGGCTTTACCACAAAATCCCGAAAGGACATAATACCAACTAAATTGTCCAGCATTATCACTAATGCTGGCTAACTTTATCAGTATTATGTCCTTTCGGGATTTTGTCCTTCGGGATTTTGTGGTAAAGCCTTATTATATTAAGATTTGAGAAAGAATTTCATAATTGAACAAGCGATAATTATGACATTGATCAATTAATTCAACATACACAACTTAATGCAAAGAAGTTTAAGAACATTATTGAATGGATACCCTCTAGCAACTTCGCAAATTCGCAAATACAGTATTAGGTAAATCCAGAGTGTGAAAGACGTAATTTAACAATAATTTGAGAAATCTTGCTATTACTTTATTCATTATAGCTTGTCGGTGACTTTAATCTGGTCTAAATAAAACATACAGCTGTTCTCATGAAATCCTGGATACTTGAAAAGTAGTCGGTTATCTAACTAATAAATATTTATTTTGTCTTCTACGATATATTAATACGTTCTAAACGAAAGACGAATTTTTATTTTATTTTTTCCAAGAGTTTATATTACAGTCAGGGAATATACCGACTTTGGTCACTGATGATCACCCTTATTTAGTAATGATCATCAGTCTAATTATTCTAGATTTTTCTTTCGAATATTCCACGTGTTATATGTGAGACGAAAGAAAAGAATTTTTTTTATAATAAAAAACCTAGATGGAATTAAAATTTTATACGTAATAATTTATAAAACTTGATATAAAATATATAAATAAATAACAAAGGCAGATGGGTTGATATTCTTTATATATAATAAAGCATATAAAATTGATAAAATTTATAACTAATTAAGGTTTTTATCTAGATCTATTGAGTAATTATAATGCTTAAGCAAATCTTAATAATATCATGCTTGTACGTACTATTGATTTTTATTTAAAGCTATAACAATATTTATACATTACTTTGATTGCCTAAGGTAGCA